AAAAGTAATCACTACATGCAAATCTACACCTGAATAAATGTAGTCAGCCCAATTTATGATGTCTGCTAGAAATAACTATGAAAATAATCAACATAGTCTGATTGTTAGCAAAATATTTTATGAACCACTGAATGAATTTTAAGGAATCTCAAAAAAAAAAGTCAATAAATGCACATGCACAGCTGATTAAAATTTGGAGGCAGCAAGATTTATGAAAAATTTATTTTAACAAGCACATAATTGTCTATAACTCAGTCTCATAACTAATGAGTCAAAGATTGGTGTGGTAGTAGCTGAGAGTCATTCCCAACCCATACTCGGAGCACTAACAGATTGCATGAGATCTTCAACATAAGAGCAGGGCGGCAAGTGATATAGATTTCTTCAAAGAATGTCCGATTTGAGCACAAGCAATGAAGAAAGAGTCAAGTTGAGCTACGCAGGGCTGAATAACAACATAAAGAGATCTCTGTGTTTATAAGCACATTTAAAAGCATGTAGGTTAAATGTATGCTTAATATTGGAAAGCCAACAAATAAACCCATTTAAACAGAGTCAAGAAAACTATTTTTAACCATTACTCACACTTTTACCTTTATTTTGAAACCAGTCTTCTCCTTCATCACGTCTTTTTTTTACCCCCCCTTGTGATAATACAAACTGATAATGCTCATCTTTTTCACTGATTTTCCAAAGCGCTCCCTCACCTGTTGTACATCCCACCTTTAGCCCTCTCTCCATGCAGCTGCTTGATGCTAACAGTACTTGGCCTGCTTCCCCACAGTTTTCAGCGTGGTGTCCGTGTGAGCGCTCCGGTTGCATTTGGTGTTAACTTTCTCACCCACTGGCCATCGGTAAATAACACGGTTTCACCTTCACTCAGGCAGTTTCAGGAGCAACACAGCAACATTTTGACATCAGCGAACACAGAGGCTGAGTTGTTTTTCTTTAAAAAACAACAGAAGAAGCCACACAGCGGTTATATTAACCATCTTCCTGTTTGAGTTAGAATGTGTGTCTACAGAGAAACTGAAAGATATCAGGGCTCAGTTTCTTTAATCTCAAGGTTCAAAAACGTTCAAGACAAAACGCTTTAAGCTCCAAGGTTTTTGACACACGTATTGTGCTCATTACAGAATGTGTGTGTGTGTTTGTGCACATGCATTGCTGTTTTTGGCTATAACAATGCCTGATGAACGAGGAGCTGCTGTTCTGACAGAGGGCTCCATTAACATGTGCTGCCTGGCTCCCCTTTGCAATCCGTCACACTCGGCATTCACGTGCACAGATGAGTGGAATGATTTAACAGCAACTGGTTGGTGTTTACAAGCAGTAAATGTGATTTTTGTATACAGTTTTGGATGATTTGTAGCTTTTTTATATATATTATTTTGTCATATTAGCTTCTTTGTCTGAGTCTTTAAGGTACGAATGGCAAGAGAAGTGCATCACTTCTCTCTTTTAGCTTAATTAAAACAATTGGAAAAGTTTTTCCTTATATCATGTAAAGCTCATATTTTCTCTGCTTTATTATATTTCATCCAGTGCATCCTCCTTAGGTTTACAGACATGGTGCCTTTTGAGGCTCCAGGTCAATGTGCCCTCTACCATACCTTTGCAGTCTGGATCAAACTGAACCCATTTTCAGTTATGGAAAGAAGCTTCCTGCAGCAGGCGTCTTTATACTCACCTCAACTTGCTTCACAATCACTTTTGTTAGTTTTGTACCTACCTCAGCAGCTGCCCCAACATTGGTGATTTCATGGAGTACAATACTGAGGTTCAGATTTATTCAAATCAAGCTTTGAGCACACAAATGTTTGCCTTAAAACACAAATAATCTTTTTATGTTCATTCTTTGCATTTAGTAATTGCACGGGTGCAAATGAGTAATCATTTCAGTGCATGGGTGTGAAGGGGTAACCGTTTTGTACACAACTGGTACAAAGTGCCACCCTGTGGGTACAAAATGACAACTGCAAAGTGGAGGTATGATTTAGCAGAGGGACAAATTGATTAATCAGTACACATCCTTTGATTGTAGCTCCAGGTTGCTCATACATCAGACTGTACTTTTAAAGAAAGAAAAGTTGTAAAAATACACATTTAGAATATTTGTTCCGACAGACCTCATAGGAGGAAACCTGAAAAGTCTGTTGTTCTTCAGATAAACACTAAGAGCAGTGGAGTGCTGATGATTTCCTTCAGAGTGTACGATTCACACAGTTTGTTTTTAACACTCAGACATTACTCGTATTATTCTGCAGCAGGCGTATTAGTCACCACAGGAAGTTGTGGTAAACACATTTGTTTGAAATTGTTATACGTTTGAAATTTATACTCTGAATACTTTGAGTGCAAAAACTGCACGATATGTAGCAATTTTATTATGTTCTTGTTTTATCTGTAGACAGTTTGATTATTGATTATCTAGCTGCAAGACTGAACTGTGTTAGCAGTTTTAAATTGTACTGTTATGTGCTTATGGTTCCTGAAGTGGGTGAATATGAAGCTGATAAACAAACCCATAAAAAAAGATGTAAACATCTACAGGTCCTTCTCATAAAATTTGCATATTGTGATAAAGGTCATTATTTTCCATAATGTAATGATAAAAATGAAACTTTCATATATTTCAGATTCATTGCACACCAACTGAAATATTTCAGGTCTTTAATTGTTTTAATACTGATGATTATGGCATACAGCTCATGAAAACCCAAAATGCCTGTCCCAAAAAATTAGCATATTTCATCCCACCAATGAAAGACAAGTGTTTTTAATACAAAAAACGCCAACCTTCAAATAATCATGTTCAGTTATGCACTCAATACTTGGTCGGGAATCCTTTTGCATGAATGACTGCTTCAATGCGGCGTGGCATGGAGGCAATCAGCCTGTGGCACTGCTGAGGTGTTATGGAGGCCCAGGATGCTTCGATAGCAGCCTTAAGCTCATCCAGAGTGTTGGGTCTTGTGTCTCTCAACTTTCCCTTCACAATATCCCACAGGTTCTCTATGGGGTTCAGGTCAGGAGAGTTGGCAGGCCAATTGAACACAGTAATACCATGGTCAGTAAACCATTTACCAGTGGTTTTGGCACTGTGAGCAGGTGCCAGGTCGTGCTGAAAAATGAAATCTTCATCTCCATAAAGCTTTTCAGCAGATGGAAGCATGAAGTGCTCCAAAATCTCCTGATAGCTAGCTGCATTGACCCTGCCCTTGATAAAACACAGTGGACCAACACCAGCAGATGACATGACACCCCAGTGACTGGAAACTTGACACTGGACCTCAAGCAATGTGAATTCTTCTTCACAATCCTCCTCAGGGTCCAGTCACCTCTTCTCGTTGTGCAGCGTTTTCTGCCACACTTTTCCCTTCCCACAGACTTCCCACTGAGGTGCCTTGATACAGCACTCTGGGAACAGCCTATTCGTTCAGCAATTTCTTTCTGTGTCTTACCCTCTTGCTTGAGGGTGTCAATGATGGCCTTCTGGACAGCAGTCAGGTCGGCAGTCTTACCCATGATTGCTGTTTTGAGTAATGAACAAGGCTGGGAGTTTTTAAAAGCCTCAGGAATCTTTTGCAGGTGTTGAGTTACGTAATTGATTCAGATGGTTAGGTTAATAGCTTGTTTAGAGAAACTTTTCATGATATGCTAATTTTTTGGGACAGGCATTTTGGGTTTTCATGAGCTGTATGCCATAATTATCAGTATTAAAACAATTAAAGACCTGAAATATTTCAGTTGGTGTGCAATGAATCTGAAATATATGAAAGTTTAATTTTTATCATTACATTATGGAAAATAATGACTTCTATCACAATATGCTAATTTTATGAGAATGACCTGTATATTTGTCACTTATTGAAACATGTTATTTCAATAAGTGACATACATCATATTTTGTAATATTATTGTCTTTTTTTGAATAAAGCACATGCTGATGTCCATTTTTGTTTTCGACTCTTAACTACACTTTGAAATTTATTTGTTTTTTAGGTAAGTAAATTTTACCTTTCATAGATAAAATCACAAAGTGCTTTACAGAAATACAAAATACAGACTTAATGTAAAACTAAAACAATAGGAACTGCTTATAAGACCAGTAAGTAGATCATTCAACTAAAAGCTTGTCTGAACAAAAGTGTCTTAAGCTGCTTTTTAAAGGAATCAACAGAGCCGGCCACATAAAGAGACATGGGCAGGGCATTCTGCAGTCTGGGGGCTACAGCCTGAAAGGATAGGTCACCCCAAGTTTTAAACCGGCTCTTAGGGACCTTTAGGAGGTTCCCAGTGTCTAAGACCGAAGGGTGTGGGCTGGAGAATAAGGAAACACAATTTCAGTATAAATACAAATGGGGGAGTGGTGGCGCAGAGGTTAGAGAAGATGGGCCTGTGATCAGAAAGTCGCAGGTTCAACTCCCGGTACCGTCAACATCAAAATGTGGATGGAAAAGGTGAAACACCCACACCTGCCTCCACCCTCATTGGCCCCACTCTGGGCCCCTGAGCAAGGCCCTTAACCACCATCTGCTCCCTAAACAGGTCTCTCTTGAAAATGAGTTCTCGTGGCTCAATGAGACTACCTGGATAAATAAAGGGTAAATGGGGGAAATAAATAAATATATCTTTTTTATTTTATTTTTAAATTAAGCATCCTTGTGGTAAAGTAATTGAAGAAAATACCCATGTGCCACCACACTGGGGTTTATAATCCTTCAGCTGACTGAACAAAAACAACACATTACAACTTAATATACAAGCCTTTAAATAGTGATCTGAGATTAAATCAGCATGTCTTATAGTAATCTTCTTTTCATAAACTTCTCTTTAAAAACAACATTTTATTGGTTTTGAGACTAAATTAAACACCACTACGTTGTAGGATCTCCGTTTTAATATCCCGCTGATGTTATGATGGACAAAAAAATCTGCTGTTAAATACATTTCACATTGATGCTTCTAAACTCGTTTTGTTTCCTTGTGTCTTGCAGCTCAGCAGATGAGAAGTTTCGCTGGAACCACCAAGGTAAAACCTTATTCTGAATGTTTTAGCATATGTTCAGGCCTAGTCCCTCGTTGTTTGCTATGTGCTGAATGCGCTTGTCACTTTATAACTTTTTAACCCCTCCCTCTGGCCATCTTTGATATACTGACGCAGTCCTTTCACAGGACCCTGGTGGCTGTTAAATCAAGAAACCCATTTTCTACACAGAAAATGGGTTTCTTCACAGAAAAGCTTGATTTTTCATCTCTGTCTCTCGCTTCAGCCCCTGTGAAAGCTGGATAAAGGTTAAACCACATTTTTAAAAGACCAGATGGGAAGTGCTTTTCATAAACGACAACAAGAATCAATGTGCTTTTCTTATACTTTAAAACTCAAATTTACTTCTGGAGTGACGTCTCCAGACTTAACTTTTAACAGGATTTTAGTTGGGAAAAACAACAGCAATTCACAACACGTCTTTTTTTTTTTTCTGCCTCTTTGTCAGTCAAGTTAAGATCTATTCAGTGTCAAGAGTAGATTGATGGTCTGAGTGCACGATTGATGGCCCCTGCCCACAAAGAGGTGGCTAGCACCACACAAGCCCAGAGGTTTTGCGGTAAAAGCCTTTCACTGTCCAATCTGCTGTGCTCGAGCTTGACCACTCAGCCTGAGAAAGACGAAATTTACTTAACAATAAAATCTTTCTTTACTCCAGCCAGACCTTTTGATCACATCATCGCTCACAGATCGTTATAAACCCATTAATCCTGACACACACAAAAAATGACTTGTGGCTTTTCTTCTGCAAGGTTTAGAGTAAATCCAATGTAACATTGCAGTCAGTCCTGGAAATGATTTTACCAACAGCATCAGCATCATCAGTCTAAAATCACATCAGTCGAAGTCAATAAAAAAGCCCCCCTAAGTCCTCCCACTAAAGCCGTTACTATTAACGTTCTCCTTCCATCTTGGTAAGAGATTAATGTTCTCCTAAGACTCATTTGTAAGCTTTTATCCTTCTTGGCAGCCCTCTCAAACTGAACGACACCAGGCACGTTATCACCCTCTGTCTGACAGACAAAAGGCCGGTATCTGAGCACAAGGTGGACCTCCATCTCATAAGATTTGTTGCTGGATTACCAAGATTCGCTTTTACCCTTGACACAGGGTAGACCATTGCATGTTGGTGCTAAAGGGATGAGTAAAACTTATTTTTGTTGCTGTTGTCAACTAATCAGCCTCTGGATGAGAACAGATGTGAAAGTTCTCACTGTTGTCTAGTTATAATAACCAGATATGTGAAAACATAGTGAAATTGTTAAAAACAAACAAAAGTGGAATCGATAATAACTGTGAAGAACAGAAGAAAATCAAAAACGGTGGCTACACTCAGCTTAAAAGAGACATGATGGACATATTTAGACATGGATTTATTATTTTTTCCCTTTTAAAAAAAACTAATAGTTAATAGGGGGGCATTTATGGCTGTAACATTGATTATTAACTGTAAACAGTGCTATGCTTAATTCCTTCCTTGGAACTGAAGCCTTAATTCTAAATTAGTACAGACACAATAAACAGAGCAGTATTATTGAGGGTTATTGGGGAGTGGCGGCGCAGAGGTTAGAGAGGTGGGCTTGTGATCCGAAGATCGCCGGTTCACGCCCCGGCCCCGACAACATCAAAAATTGTGGGTGGGGTAGGTGAAACACCCACACTTGCCCCCACCCTCATTCGCCCCACTCTGGGCCCATGAGCAAGGCCCTTAACCCCACCATGTGCTCCCTAAACAGGTCTCTCTTGAAAATGATTTCTCGTGGCTCAATGAGACTAACCTGGATAAATAAAGGCTAAATGAAAAAAAAAAATGAAAAAAATTGAGGGTCAATGATTACTGAGGTAAATATTTGCTTCACAAAGGTGATGTACTTAGTCTTTTTCAGCATTTGCATGGTTCAAGACAAATAGCACTTCAATTTACTGATAGTTTTCTCTTTTCCATCCACATGTAGATGGACAGAAGGACATAGAGGAAGAGCTGACGACGGGCCTGGAGCTGGTGGACTCGTGCATTAGATCCCTGCAGGAATCGGGCATCTTGGACTCCCAAGACACTTGTACAGGCGACAGTAAGATTAAAGATTTGAGTTTTCCCACGTTTGTCTTTCTGCAAGTGGTAGTAAAATTAAATTAAAACAGCAGATCTAGTTTTTGGCTGATTTGAATTGTTGAAGGTGTGTACATTTGCAAAGAAGCTACAGGTCTAGCCTGCTTCCACATCACAAAATTATATATATATATATATATATATATAATTTAAATTAGGCTTTCTATACACGCTTTAAAATGCACAGGCCTAATTGTTATAACTCTTATATGAAATGCAATCGTTTGATCAATTGCTACTATTGTTACTGCATCTGTGAAGGCTAAGAGAAAGTGAAGAAGGTGTTGCATATGTATTGTTTTAAATGCACAGCACAACGTTGTTATGAAACCGAGCTCTCACTGACATCCTAAACCACTACCTGTGCCTTCCTGCTCCGCTCTGATCTTTCTGCATTCAGTCCCGGAGATGATACTCGTGTCTTTGCTGCACTCGACCCCATGGGAGAGGGGAGGCTGTCAGGAGTCATGCAGAGTTGTGCCAGTAGTTTGATATGCTAATCCATCCTCGCTGAGATGTCAGCTGGCCTGCTGTTCACAGAGCAGAGAGAAGAGGAAGCACATGAACAGACAACTACTGTAACACTGCACAGGCTGGATGCACACGCTCACACTAAAGAATATGGAAACAGAAAAATACAAGACTGCATGCAGTGGATGCTAAAAAACTGCTTCAAAGTTAGAGAAAAACTAAAATAAAGCTTAGCTTGAAACAACTATTTCTTAAAGTAGCATCCTTTCTCACAAATATAACTAAAAACAATGTTTTTCTCTAGGTTTAGACTCAACATTTGCTGTAATATGAGCTATGAGCTTTAAGAAGCCAAATAGTCAATTTACTGTCAGTAAGAAAAATGATGCAAACACATTTTTGGATGGCTGGTGCCAGTTCCTATGAAAATTGCTTACTGGCATTAATCACATTCATGTCAACACACAAGTTATGATAACCGTTAGTACTTATAATCCTAATGTACTAGAGAAAAAGTCCTGCTCTTAGCAAAAAAATAAAAATTGCTCAGTAGAAGCAACTGCTGGCTGCATTTACTGAATGAATATCAGCATTAATGACTGCTATAAAACAAGTGGTTCGCACAGGCTGAGATGTTCGTTACAAAGAATATACTGAACAGGAGTGTTTAATATTCTTTTGGCTGAAGTGAGCCATCATGGTTTGTATTCTGCTCTGATTTTTATTTTTTTTATTTTGCATTTGTGAAAAGTTTATTTTCTTCCCTTATCGTACAGCAAAACAGAAGCATTTAACTCATACAGCAAGACAGCATTACTGAGTTTTATTTTTAAAACTAAAGACATATGCTGGCTTACATTTACAGTATACATGCAAACATGATTAAAACACACCTAGCAGAACTCCTACTAACTTGCTTAATGGAGGCTTGTTCAGTGTAGCCTTTCCTCTGTCATCCAGCAGCTACCAAAACGTAACTAATAAAAGTAAAAATGTTGGCGAAGGATAATTAATTACTATGAGAAATAAATATCTAAAAACATAAATATTATAGGCATTAAACATAATGTTAACGGCCAAGAAATATAAACCTCTGGCTAGTGCATGCAAAAGACTTTCTGATTAAAACTAAAAAATAAAATCGGAAAATGCTTTTAATAAACAGATTGACTAACACTACTTAAGCTTTCATGTTGACACCGCTTATATGTACAACAACAAAATATACAAGACTTATAATGAATTACTGACTTTCTGCCCCCACTTCTGCTTGTTTGGTTTTTCAACACGTTTTAAAATGAAAATGAGAAAAAATACAATATGTTTGTTTCTTCTTATTATTATTATTATTATTTAATATTATTTCATATTGGGTCTGTCACGTTTGATTGTTAGATAAGAACTAATCACTAATTTTTTTTGTTGAAAAAAATCATCATTTGGTTATTTTATTTTGAAAAGGCTCAATTTGCTGTAATCTCACTGCTGTACATTTATTGAAATGATCATTTTAATGAACCCAAAACAAAAATCAATATAGATAAGTTTTAAATGATTTCACAATAAAAAAAAGTTGATTTATTAAGCTAATTATAAAACTTTTATATCAAGTGAAGAAAACATCCAGTAATTACACAAAATTTCAGCAAATTGTTGCGCAACATACGACTAACTAGTAGTCAGGTAGATAATCAGTAGACTCTAAATTAGACAATAGACAGTAGATAGTCAGTAGACTGTAGAGTAGACTATAGACAGTAGATAGTCAGTAGACTCTATAGTACCATACCCATCCATCCATCCATTTTCTTTACCCGCTTATTCCATTTTGGGTCACGGGGGTCGCTGGTGCCCATGTCCAGCAATCACTGTGCGAGGGGCGGGGTACACCCTGGACGGGTCGCAAGTCCATCACAGGGCCACATAGAGACAAACGAGACAAACAACCATTCACTCTCTCACTCACACCTAGGGACAATTTAGAGTTACCAATCAGCCTAACATGCATGTTTTTGGACTGTGGGAGGAAACCGGAGTACCCGGAGAAAACCCACGCATGCACGGAGAGAACATGCAAACTCCACCCAGAAAGGCCCCTGGACCGGGGTTTGAACCAGGGACCTGCTCGCTGAGAGGCAGCAGCTCTACCAGTTGCGCCACCGTGCTGCCTAGTACCATACCATACCATTTTATTTATAGAGCACTTAAAACAGCGACAAGGCCAACCAAATTGCTGTACAGACAGAACAACAGGTAACACACAAAGAAATATACAAAATGAGGTAAATCAGAATATAGACATAAAAACGATGCAGATAATGACGACAAACCAGTGTGGAGCATACAGGATCAAAACACAGATCCTCTGGTGTTGAAAGCTACTGAATAGTAGTGAGTTTTTAAACGGAACTTGAAAACCAAGAGGGAGGGGGCCTGTCTGACAAGCAGAGGTAACTCGTTCCAGAGTCTTGGTCCTGCTACAGAGAAGGCCCTGTCACCTCTGCGCTTAAGACGAGTTCCTGGAACTGTGAGGAGCAACTGGTCCGCTGACCTCAGGGAACGTGGTGGGACATACGGTTGTAGCAGATCAGAGCGATTGGGG